GAGAGAGACAGAGAGAGAGAGGGAGAGAGAGAGAGAGAGAGAGAGGGAGAGAGAGAGAGAGAGAGAGAGAGAGAGAGAGAGAGAGACAGAGAGACAGAGAGGCAGAGAGGGAGACAGATAGGGAGAGAGAAAGACAGTGACAGAGAGAGACAGACAGAGACAGAGAGACAGAGATGTAAATCATATTGACTTGATTGTGGCAAATATCACCAGTTCGGAACTCTTGTGTCAAACCGATCCACATAAAAATCAGAGCTGAAGCATCATTAGTCCTCGACTAATGACCATTATTGAGCCCCCCCGCCAATTTCCGTGGCTAAGCGAGACAGTTGTTGAGGAAGTTTTGCCCCTTTTTATGACCTTTCTGGTGCAGTTGCGAAGTGAATTGCTGTAACTGTTAAGTTAGTAGTATTCCAGAAATCGTGGGTGCTCGCTCCATCACTGGAATTTTTTAAGAAGAGACTAGAAGACAGTCTCTTGTCTGAAATGGTACAGGGGGCTGGACTAGAAGACCTCCATATTCCTTCCAGCTTTATTCTATTCTATTCCATTCCATTCTTCTTCTTTCCTATTCTCTACTCTACTCCACTCCACTCCACTGCACTCCACTCCATTCCATTCCATTCCATTCCATTCCATTCCATTCCATTCCATTCTAATATTCTATTCTATTCTATTCTATTCTATTCTATTCTATTCTATTCTATTCTATTCTATTCTATTCTATTCTATTCCATTCCATTCCATTCCATTGCATTGCATTCCATCATTATTCTATTCTATTCTGTTCTGTTCTGTTCCATTCCGTTCCGTTCCATCTATTCTCACGGTCGTTAAGCAAATCTGACCTCCCTATTGACTTTGCTCGTCAGAAGATCACCAAAAATGATTATGAGATCTCAGGACGCGGCAACCATCATAAATACGAGTCAGTTGCTGTGCATCTGAATTTCGATCACGTGACCATGGGGAATCCTACAAAGGTCGTAAGTGTGGAAAACGGTCCTAAGTCCCTTTTTTCAATGCTGTTGCAAGTTCAAATGGTCACTAACTGAATGCTTGCAAGTCAAGGACGCCCTGTAATCAGATAAGTAAAATTAAGTTTTTCTTTCCCTCTGAAATTCGGTCCGTACCTCTCCGGTCTGAGATTCTGAGAGTTCCAGAATGAAAGGAATTTCCGTGTCAAAATTGGCAAAGAAGTTGGTCCACTGATGTTCAAAAGTCATCAAGTCCTAGAAGAGAAAGAAACATTTCGTTATCAACCCACAAGCTTTAACTCTGCAAGCCAACGTCATTAAAAAAAACCCCAAAAGAACGTAAAGGAAGAGGTCAAACATTTGCATTTATGGAGCTGGAAAGATCGAGGCACCAAATACAGCTTTTTTAAAACAACAACAACAACAACAATCTGCTTCTTGTCCAATTCTGAAGTCAAGCAACTCGGGGTTAAACACAATCAATTAAATTAATTGCCTCAACCTGCTGCTGGAAATAGATTCCACTACCTGAGGAGGAATAAAACATCACAAGAGAGAGAGAGAAATAAAGAGCATGGCAATTTCATATTATTTATTTGTTATTTTTAGAAACAGCTGAAAGCAATCCCTCTGGATCCCTCTAGATTTGATTTCGGTGGAGGAAGGACTGGTTTGTTTCGGATTTAAGAAAAAGACACGTGGCCTTAAGACCACTCCACTATCTTGCCTATATAATCAGTCAATTAATATGCCATTTGCGCCCCCACGTCTTGGAGAAGTTCTGCTAACAGACCCGAATGTGCTGAAGGATGCTTCAGAGAAGAAATATCTACACTTGAGGGTCTATTTAATACCACTTTACAATGCCTTGGTAAGGCCACACTTGGAATGCAGCATCCAGTTTTGGTCACCACGATGTAAAAAAGATGTCGAGACTCTAGAAAGAGTACAAAGAAGAGCAACAAAGATGATCAGGGGGATGGAGGCTAAAACATATAAGGGACGGTTGCTGGAATTGGGTATGTATAGTCTAATGAAGAGAAGGACAAGGGGGGACAGGATAGCAGTCTTCCAGTATCTCAGGGGCTGCCCTAAAGAAGAGGGAGTCAAACTATTCTCCAAAGCGCCTGAAGGCAGGACAAGGAGCAACGGATGGAAACTCATCAAGGAGAGAAGCAACCTGGAACTAAGGAGAAATTTCCTGGCAGTGAGAACAATTAACCAGTGGAACAACCTGCCTCCAGAAGCGATGAATGCTGCAACACTGGAAGTTTTTAAGAAGAGACTGGACAGCCATTTGTCTGAAATGGTATAGGGTTTCCTGCCTGAGCAAGGGGTTGGGCTAGATGACCTCCAAGATCCCTTCCAACTTTACTACTACTACTACTACTACTGCTACTGCTACTGCTACTGCTACTATTATTATTATTAACATGACGCAGCCGGCTGAAAGAAAACAGTGATCCGAACAGCTCAAGCAACGGCCACTAGATGTCAGCAGAGGACCGGTTTCCGACTCTTCCCAGTTTCTCGGAAAAAAAACCCTTCCAGAATATGAAAAGCTAGAACGAAAAGCTTAATTATAGCCTCTTGGAATCCGAACGAGAAAGCTCGTGAGCCCATATAGCAAACCCAAAAACAAAAATGAAAGAAGCCACAACGTGGCACGTGAGGGAGACTGTGAGGGTTCCTCGCGCAGTGAAAAGGTGTGCAGCACATCGAAAACAAACCCCACTTAATCCAGGTATAGTTCTTGACTTAAGAGCACAACGGAGCCAAAATTTGCATTGCTAAGCAAGGCAGCTAGGTGAGCTTTGCCCCATTTTGTGATATTTCTTGCAACGGCTGTTAAGCGAATCGCTGCAGTTAAGTGAATTAACTGCATGGTTTCCTGCCTGAGCAGGGGGTTGGACTAGATGACCTCCAAGGTCCCTTCCAACTTTACTATTATTATTATTATTATTATTATTATTATTATTATTATTATTATTATTCGGTCGTTAAACGAATCTGACTTCCCTGTTGATTTTCCTTGTCATTTTGCAAAAGGGCGTTATATGACCCCAGGACGCTGCAACCGTCATAAATAGGAACCAGTTGCCAAGCGTCCGAATTCTGATCACGTGATCATGGGAGGCTGCAACGGTCATAAGTGTGAAAAACAATCGTAAGTCACTTTATTCAGTGCCATTGTAAATTTGAAGGGGCACTAAAGGAATAGTTGGCAAGTCAAGGACGACCTGTGTGCTTTTTATGTTATGCTCTTCAATCGGTTTGCTTGAGCTAACAGTAAAGCTTAAAATCCCTTTATTTATTGGAGTGTTCACTGGATCCAAAAGAACCAGTAGCCTGGGCACCTGATCACTGTCTCCTGCCCCTTGGCAGAACAAGGGATGTTGTTGTTAGTTGCAAAGTTGTGTCCGACCCATCGCGACCCCATGGACAACGTTCCTCCAGGCCTTCCTGTCCTCTACCATCTTCTGGAGTCCATTTAAGCTCACGCCTACTGCTTCAGTGACTTCATCCAGCTACCTTATTCTCTGTCGTCCCCTTCTTCTCTTGCCCTCCATCTTTCCCAGCATTAGGCTCTTCTCCAGGGAGTCCTTCCTTCTCATTAGGTGGCCAAAGGACTTGAGTTTCAACTTCAGGATCTGGCCTTCTAAAGAGCAGTCAGGGTTGATCTCCTCCAGGATTGACCGGTTTGATCGCCTTGCAGTCCAGGGGACTCGCAGGAGTCTTCTCCAGCACCAGAGTTCAAAGGCCTCCATTCTTTGGTGCTCAGCCTTTCTTATGGTCCAACTTTCACAGCCATACATTGCAACTGGGATGAACAGGCCCCAAACATGCGTTCTCAAATGCATCTGGACACGAACGTGGGAGCGACCGCTCTCCGTGCTTCCAAAACAGGGTCCACCTGGAAGCCATTTTAGAATGAGCCGCCATCTCTCCGCTGTTCTTCCTCCTCAAAAGCCCACGGGACCACTTGGTAGGCACGTTTTCTTGAAATGACCCTCAATAACTGTGAGAGGGATCTTGGAGTCCTAGTGGACAATCCCTTAAATAGGAGCCAGCCGTGTGCTGCAGCTGCCAAAAAAAGCCAACACAGTGCTAGGCTGCATTAACAGAGGGATAGGATCAAGATCACCTGAAGTGTTAATACCACTTTACAAGGCCTTGGTAAGGCCACACTTGGAATACAGTATCCAGTTTTGGTCACCACGATGTAAAAAAAGAGTTCAGACTCTAGAAAGAGTACAGAGAAGAGCAACAAAGATGATTAGGGGACTGGAGGCTAAAACATATAAGGAACGGTTGCTGGAATTGGGTATGTCCAGTTTAATGAAGAGAAGGACGAGGGGGGACATGATAGCAGTCTTCCAGTATCTCAGGGGCTGCCCCAAACAAGAGGGAGTCAAGCTATTTTCATAAGCCTCTGAAGGCCAGACAAGAAGCAATGGATGGAAACTCATCAAGGAGAGAAGCAACCTAGAACTAAGAAGAAACTTCCTGAATGGGAGAACAATTAACAAGTGGAACAACCTGCCTCCAGAAGTTGTGCGTGCTCCAACACTGGAAGTTTTTAAGAAGAGATTGGGGAAAAAAGGGAAAAAATGCTGGACACGTTACCTCATCAAGTAAGCTCTCCAAAGAAACGGGATCCACTTTGCTGTAGGCTTTCCAGAGATCCAGACTGACGTCCATCAGCTGCAAAGAAGAAGACTGAGTCAGAGGTGGCCAAGAGACACGGGGGTGAGGGGTGGGGTGGGGGGCTAGGCAGGGATGGCAAATGGGATTGTATGAGGAAGGGGTCTCAGGAATTCAGCGGTCAGACCAAAGAGTGCTGGGGGTCTATACAAGAGGGCACTTTGCATATTAGGGAACACACGACAGAATTACACAATCATAGGGTTGGAAGGGACCTTGAAGGTCTTCTAGTCCACCCCCCTGCTCAAGCATGAGACTTTCTACCATTCCATGCAAGAGTCCTGGTGGGGCAGTGGTTAGAATGCAGTATTGCAGGCAAACTCTGACCACAGTCTGGAGTTCGAATCTCCCCAGGCTGACTCAGCCTTCCTTCCTTCCGAAGTCGGTTAAAATGAGGACCCGGATTGTTGGGGACAACATGCAAAATACAGGTAACCCTCGACTTACCACCACAACCGAGCCCCCAAATTCAAGAGAACAAGGGTCTTCAAACTTGGCAACTGTTAAGACTTGTGGACTTCAACTCCCAGAATTCCTCCTGGCTGAAGAATTCTGGGAGTTGAAGTCCACTACATTCAATAGAACAAGGGTCTTCAGACTTGGCAACTGTTAAGACTTGTGGACTTCAACTCCCAGAATTCCTCCTGGCTGAAGAATTCTGGGAGTTGAAGTCCACAAGTCTTAAAGTTGCCAAGTTTGAAGACCCCTGGTGTAGAGTCTCCTACTTGAGCTGGGGGGATGGACTAGATGACCTGCAAGGTCCCTTCCAACTCATGTTATTCTATTATTGAATTCTATCTTGATCCCCCCCCAACACACGCAGGAGACACCCGTGGGATCAAAGCTTTCCAAATGCAAAGTGGGTTCGCTGGGGTGCTGGAAAAGTGGGGGGCCTGATCCCCACGCCATCCCTCTGATCGGCTTCCTGGAAGCCCCTTGGGTGGGATAGGGTTGCCGTAACTGAGGCGCCCCCCTCCCCACAATCTTACCTCATATTTCATGGTGAAGAAGCCATCGCCGCCAATGCCTTCCAGAGCAAAAGCCTGCACAATGGGCCACTTTTCCACCACAAACATGTCGAAGATCTGCAGGTGACCTGGAAGAAACCGAACCCGGATTTGCAACTTGGTTTTTTTTTTTTTGCATGGGGTCCTCGTTTAGCGACGACCAAAGTTAAAACGGCACTGAAAAAAGGGACTGATGGCTGTTTTTCACACATACTCCACCCTCACTGAAAGATGGGGTGGGAGGGAGTAGGACAGAAAGGATATAGTTAGAATTTAATCCAGGGGTCTTCAAACTTGGCCCTTTCATGACTTGTGGACTTCAACTCCCAGAATTCCTCAGCCAGGCACGCGTGCCTGGCTGAGGAATTCTGGGAGTGGAAATCCACAATTCATGAAAGGGCCAAGTTTGAAGACCCCTGATATAGACTTTAAGAGGAGTGGACTTCAACTCCCAGAATTCCTCAGCCAGTGTGCCTGGCTGAGGAATTCTGGGAGCTGAAGTCCACAAGTCATAAAAGATCCAAGTTTGAAGGCCCCTGATTTAATCCAGGGGACAGCAGACAACTCTGCAAAACATACAACGTATAGATGTTGTTAGCAATATTTTGGCACACTGGAAGAGATAAATGCTTTTGGTCAAGACCAGTGAAAGCTGTGGTTGTGGGTTGTGGGTTTTTTGTTTTCTTTTGACCAAGCAAAAAGTCCTTGTTATTAAAAGATATTTCTTTTCCATGTCTCTAGGATGTTTCCTAGCCAGGTTAACAGAATAACAGAGTTGAGAGGGACCTTGGAGGTCTTCTAGTCCAACCCCCTGCTCAGGCAGGAAACCCTATAGTATTTCAGACCAATGGCTGTCCAGTCTCTTCTTAAAAACTTCCAGTATTGGAACATTCACCACTTCTGGAGGCAAGTAGTTCCACTGGTTAATTGTTCTAACTATCAGGAAGTTTCTCCTTAGTTCCAGGTTGCTTCTCTCCTTGGTTAGTTTCCACCCGTTGCTCCTTGTCCTGCCTTCAGGGGCTTTGGAGAATAGCTTGACTCCCTCTTCTTTGGGGCAGCCCCTGAGATACTGGAACTCTGCTATCATGTCCCCCCTCGTCCTTCTCTTCATTAAACTAGACAGACCCAATTCCAGCAAGCGTTCCTCATATGTTTTAGCCTCCAGTCCTTTAATCACCTTTGTTGCTCTTCTCTGCACTCTTTCTGCAGTTATTCAAAAACCTACAGAGTTCTGCTTTCTTGTTTAACGTTTATTAAAAAATAAATAAAGGAATTTCAACGACGAGGCTTGCAAGCTTCTTGCATCAGCTCACTTGGGCTCTTCTTAGTAACCCGTCCCCCCCCCTTCAAAATCCCTGCCAAGGCTGTTCTGCTTAAGATCCTGGCATCCCATCATTAACAGGAAATCGACAGCTGAGTCTTTTCTCTTAAAAAAAAAAAGGAAAGCTACATAATAATAATAATAACAGTAAAAGAATCCGCTCTTTCCCTGAATAAAAGAGGATTTATATGTAAAGCACAGGGGATCTTTTGTGTTTCAATTTTACAGAGGGTGATTAATGCAGATTAGGAAGGAGCTCAAATTACTCACTTTGGAGACAATACGCCTGTGATTTTCCTTCAAGTCCCACTAAAACTGGGGTCTTCAAACCTGGCCCTTTTATGACTTGTGGACTTCAACTCCCAGAATTCCTCAGCCAGCGTGCCTGGCTGAGGAATTCTGGGAGTTGAAGTCCACTCCTCTTAAAGTTTATATTAGGGGTCTTCAAACTCGGCCCTTTTATGACTTGTGGACTTCAACTCCCAGAATTCCTCAGCCAGCATGTCTGGCTGAGGAATTCTGGGAGTTGAAGTCCACTCCTCTTAAAGTCTATATCAGGGGTCTTCAAACTTGGCCCTTTTATGACTTGTGAACTTCAACTCCCAGAATTCCTCAGCCAGCGGCTCCATTTTGTTTGTTAGATTTAAGACACGAATCTTCAAACTTGGCCCTTTTATCACTTATGGACTTCAACTCCCAGAATTCCTCAGCCAGCGTGCCTGGCTAAGGAATTCTGGGAGTTGAAGTCCACTCTTCTTAAAGTCTATATCAGGGGTCTTCAAACTTGGCCCTTTTATGACTTGTGGACTTCAACTCCCAGAATTCCTCAGCCAGGCATGCTGGCTAAGGAATTCTGGGAATTGAAGTCCACAAGTCATAAAAGGACCCAAGTTTGAAGACCCCTGCACTAAAATGAAGACCAAAATCCAGATGGGGACAAACGCTCAAGTAGTCCTTGACTTACAGCTACAATTGAGCCCCAACATTTATGTCGAGAAGCGAGACATTTGTGAAGTGAGTTTTGCCCCATTTTATAACTTTTCTTCCCACCGTCGTTAAGTGAAACCCTGCAGTTGTTAAGTTAGTAACACGGTTGTTAAGTGAATCGGGCTCCCCCATTGACTTTGCTTGTCTGAAGGTCGCAAAAGGGGATGACATGACGCCGTGTCCATCGTAAGTATGAATCAGTTACCAAGCATCCAAATATAGGATCACGTGATTATGCGGATGCTATATCGGTCCTTAAATGTGAAAAGTGGACATTAAGTGGCTTTTTTCAGTGCTATTGTAACTTTGAACGGTCGGTAAATGAACCGTTGTAAGCCGAGGACTATCTGTGCTGCGACAGAGTCTGTATTTAAAAAATTTGGAATTAATTATTAGTGCTGTTTTTCCCCCCCCAAATATATAAACCAAGACGACACGCCGTACACCAGGCACTGGAGATTGTTATTGTTAAAAAACAATAATTAAAAATAAATAAATAAAATAAAAGGTTTGGGGTTTTCTTAAACCCACCTTGGGAGCTGAACGGAATGCCGATCCGGCTGCAATCTCGGACCATGTCCACGAAGCTGGCAATTTTAAATTCTTCTGCGGCCTCTTCGTCTTCATACTAATAAAAACGACAAGAAGGTGGGAAGGGGGGAGGAGAAACTTTTGAAATATAATGAGCGAAACGTCAATATTTGGGCGGGTTTCCTGCTGGATGATTTACGAGGGCTTTTAATTCCTTCAAAACAACAAAAAACCCCTTTAAGCACGGCTTCCGATGGCTCTAAAAAGGCGGCAGTTTGGGATCGTCAATTCCGGCCAAGCGAAATAAGAAATTCTAGTACAGGGTGTCCTCGACTTACCGCCAGATTTGAACCCCAATTTTAGGTGGCTCAGTGAAAGATTTGTTAGGTGAGTTTATGCCCCATTTAGGCTTTCATGCCTCAGGCGAGACTAGAACTCCCAGGCTCCTGGCGATTGGCCCAAAGTCACCCTGCTGGCTTTCATACCTCAGACAGGTCTAGAACTCCCAGTCTCCTGGTGATTGGCCCAAAGTCACCCTGCTGGCTTTCATGCCTCAGGCAAGACTAGAACTCCCAGTCTCCTGGTGATTGGCCCAAAGTCACCCTGCTGGCTTTCATGTCTCAGGCAAGACTAGAACTCCCAGTCTCCTGGTGATTGGCCCAAAGTCACCCTGCTGGCTTTCATACCTCAGTGGGACTAGAACTCCCAGTCTCCTGGTGATTGGCCCAAAGTCACCCTTCTGGCTTTCATACCTCAGACGGGACTAGAACTTCCAGTCTCCTGGTGATTGGTCCAGAGTCACCCTGCTGGCTTTCATACCTCAGGAGGACTAGAACTCCCAGTCTCCTGGTGATTGGCCCAAAGTCACCCTGCTGGCTTTCATACCTCAGACGGGACTAGAACTTCCAGTCTCCTGGTGATTGGTCCAGAGTCACCCTGCTGGCTTTCATACCTCAGGAGGACTAGAACTCCCAGTCTCCTGGTGATTGGCCCAAAGTCACCCTGCTGGCTTTCATATCTCGGTGGGACTAGAACTCCCAGTCTCCTGGTGATTGGTCCAGAGTTACCCTGCTGGCTTTCATACCTCAGGAGGACTAGAACTCCCAGTCTCCTGGTGATTGGTCCAAAGTCACCCAGTTGGCTTTCATGCCTAAGATGGAACTAGAACTCCCAGTCTCCTGGTGATTGGCCCAGAGTCACTCTGCTGGCTTTCATACCTCAGTGGGACTAGAACTCCCAGTCTCCTAGTGATTGGCCCAAAGTCACTCTTCTGGCTTTCATACCTCAGGCGGGGCTAGAACTCCCAGTCTCCTGGTGACTGAGGTAGGTTGGGCTGAGAGGGAGGGACTGGCCCAAAGTCACCCAGCTGGCTTTCATGCCTAAGGCAGAACTAGAACTCAGTGCCTCCTGTTTTCTCGGCTTAACTACTAACCCCAAACTCACTCTCTCTCTCTTTCTCTTTCTACTGGGTGGAAGATGGTAAGCGAGACATTTTCTGCCCCAAAGTCAAAATACCTTTTGCAAGTGCTCAAAAGCTGGCCCGTGCTGAATGACAAAAAGGGCGCCGACATTCCCGCTACTCTCTCCGTGCCCCTCATTTGAAACCAGCAAATGGCTGTTAGAGACACAGCCTTGTGCCCCCCCAGGAATCCTCAAATTCAGAGCAGAGCTCAAGCCAGCCCCCTTTTCTTTAAAAAAAAAACACAAAACCAATCAACAGGACAAAAGCACCTAAAATCCAGCTTCTGCATATTCGCAAAGCCCAAATACACGATAGTAAACTTTGCCAAGCTCAATTTTTGTTGTTGGGGGTTTTTTTGGTTTTTATTTTTTAAAAAAGGGCATTTTTACAGAACTTGCTAACTGAAAAGACCCCTGGCGCTCTGGAACGGGATCAGGCTGTGATTTTTTTTTCCCAGAGCCACGCCGCAGGGTTTTTCCGTAAGCTCCTTCCAATTTAAAATCCGTGCCTATTGTACCCGCCGTCTATTTCATGGGTGCCAAAGACCCCAGGGACGAATTCATTTGATGGCGTTCCTGCCTTTTCATGATCCAAGGCGGCCCGCTTGAAACTGGTGGGCTGGTGGGAAGAGGCTGGGAAAGGAGCGAAAGATAAAGGAACAGCAGGAAGATGTTTTGGACCCAAAAAAATATGAAATTTTAAAAGCCTGGTGGGAACGCCAAGTCCCCTGCGACTGTGTAAAAGGTCTCCGAAATAAAAGTTCCAAACGGCAGACGAGGAAGCCAGCTGGAGAGAGTTTTTGAAAGCCGCAACTGGACGGCCCTGGAAATGGAAAACTGAGGCTGGAGGGACAAGACACCAGGGAATTATAGATCTGGGTTGATAGCCAGCAGGAAAACGGATTTTTCCTATCTGCAAAAGTGGCGCGAGAAAGAGGAAAAAAGGAAGGAATTGGAAGAAGTACGAGCTGTTTGTGGACTTCCGTTCCCAGAATCCCCCTGAAATCCTGGAAGTCCAGACTTTCACACGCTGAGAGCCTGCCTCGAACAAGCCCTGTTCTACAAGAAAAATCAAATGCACAGGTATAGGATAGGGGGTACCTTGCTCTATAGTAGCAACTGTGAGAGGGATCTCGGACTCCTAGTGGACAATCATTTAAATAGGACCCAGTCGTGTGCTGCAGCTGCCAAAAGAGGCAACACAGTGCTGGGCTGCATTAACAGAGGGATAGAATCAAGATCACGTGAGGTATTAATACCACTTTACAATGCCTTGGTAAGGCCACACTTGGAATACTGCATCCAGTTTTGGTCACCATGATGTAAAAAAGATGCTGAGACTCTAGAAAGAGTGCAGAGAAGAACAACAAAGATGATCAGGGGACTGGAGGCTAAAACATATGAGGAACGGTTGCTAGAATTGGGAATGTCTAGTCTAATGAAGGATGAGGGGTGACAGGATAGCAGTCTTCTAGTATCTCAGGGGCTGCCCCAAAGAAGAGGGAGTCAAGCTGTTCTCCAAAGCGCCTGAAGGCAGGACAAGAAGCAACGGATGGAAACTAACCAAGGAGAGAAGCAACTTAGAACTAAGGAGAAACTTCCTGACAGTTAGAACAATTAACCAGTGGAACAACCTGCCTCCAGAAGCAGTAAATGCTCCAAGTCTGGAAGTTTTTAAGAAGAGACTGGACAGCCATTTGTCCGAAATGGTATAGGTTCTCCTGCCTGAGCAGGGGGTTGGACTAGATGACCTCCAAGGTCCCTTCCAACTTTATTATTATTATGATTACCCCCCAATTTGTGGCTTGTTCGCTCACCTCGGTTTCCGTCAGGCAGTGGAAGTGCAAGTTCCTCCAAAACGCCACGTAGGGGAGAAGGTAATTGTAGTTGACAGGGTTGCAGTACAGATGGACGCTGTCCGGTTTAATCAGCAGGATCACATCTGCGGTCATAAAAGGAGGACTTGTTAGAAGTGGAGGAGCGCCAGCGTTATCGGCGACCTCAAAGGGGGGGGGCTTAGACCAGCCGGTGGGGAACCGCTCCCCTCTTACCATCCAGGACTTCTTCGGGAAATCCTGATCTTTCAAAGTCGTTGTTGCCCTGGCTGTACAAGCCAAAGAGGAGATGGTTGGCGAGTTCCCAGCATCCTTCATTGTACCGACTATCAATTCCTGCAAACAAAAAAAAAATACAGGACGTTTGGAGAATAAGATACTGGGCGATGTGACTGGTTGTCTGGAGTCAGAGTGGCTGAGGGCTCAGGAAGAAGCAAGAGAAGGCGGGACTAGAACTCACCGTCTCCTGGTGATTGGCCCAAACATGCCTAAGGCGGGACTAGAACTCACTGTCTCCTGGGGATTGGCCCAAAGTCACCTGGCTGGCTTTGTGCCTTAAGGCAGGACTAGAACTCATCGTCTCCTGGTGATTGGCCCAAAGTCACCCAATCGGTTTTCATGCCTGAGGTAGGACTAGAACTCACTATCTCCTAGTGACTGGACCAAAATCAGGACCACTTCAAGTATGTAAGTATGTATATAAGTATGTATGTATATAAGTATTAAGATGTATATTATGTATGTTTGTATATAAGTACGTATTTATGTAATTATGTATGTATATAAATATGTTGTATGCAAGTGTGTATGTATATAAGTATCTGTATAATAATAATAATAATAATAATAATAATAATAATAATAATAAAGTTGGAAGGGACCTTGGAGGTCATCAAGTCCAACCTCCTGCTATTTATGTAATTATGTGTGTATGTTTGTATATAAGTATGTATTTATATAATTATGTATGCATGTATGTATGTATATAAATATGTGTATGTTGTATGTAAGTGTGTATGTAAGAATGTAAGTATCTGTATAATAATAATAATAATAATAATAATAATAATAATAATAATAATAACAACAATAATAAAGTTGGATGGGACCTTGGAGGTCATCAAGTCCAACCCCCTGCTATTTATGTAATTATGCATGTATGTATGTATATAAATATATCAGTATGTATGTATGTAAGCAAGTATGTGTGTATGTATGCATGCATGTATGTAATGTATTTTAACAAAAAGCAACGGGAGAGAAGTTCTCCTGGTTCTTGTTTTAACACCCTCACCGTTTCAGCCAAAGCTGAACGGAAACGGCAGCCTTATCCAGAGCCGAAGGTCCTTCAGCAACAGGAAGGAAGGAGATTGGAAAAGCTCCCCAGTGAGTTTCGGGGGGGGGGGGCCGCCCCTCTGAAACCCGAGAGCCACAATGCTGTGTGCAATTGCACAACCCTTGCACTGGGCCAGGGCCAGGCAAAGCCTCTTACGATGACGACGGGGTCCAGGCTGGGAGGATTAGGCCTGGGGGAACATCTGGGAGACGGCTGGTGGAGAGCGCAACGGCAGGCCACCTCCTTATCCATGGGGTTACGCAGGGATAAAGGCCCCGGGGTTGCCAAGATAGAGAAGCCAGGATCAGAGCCACCTCTGTGGAAACTAGGGCAAGAAAAGTAGGCCGTGCGGGTCACTTTCAAAGTGGAAGAGTTCAACAGATGGGTTGGGAGGTTTCTGCACAGGAGGCCCGGCTGATTTTTACAGGAGTCAGAACAGCGTTAAGGGCTGTCAGCGTTTAGCAATAAATCTTCCCACGTCCATCTGGCAAACATTCTTGGCCCAGATGTCAGCACAAGCCCTGCCTTCATTTCGTTTCCATCAACTGGAGAGACAGTTGGGTCTAGCGGTTAAGGCGCCAGGCTAAAAAGGAGGTGAGTTCTAATCCCGCCTTAGGCATGGAAGCCAGCTGGATGACTTTGGGTCAATCACCAGGAGACGGCGAATTCTAGTCCTGCCTTAGGTATGAAAGCTGGCTGGGTGACTTTGGGTCAGTCACCACGAGATGGCGAGTTCTAATCTTGCCTTAGGTATGAAAGCCAGCCGGGTGACTTTGGCCCAATCACCAGGAGATGGTGAGTTCTAGTCCCACCTTAGGCATGAAAGCCAGCTGGGTGGCTTTGGGTCAATCACCAGGAGGCTGTGAGTTCTAGTCCTGCCTTAGGAATGAAAGCCGGCTGGGCGACTTTGGGCCAGTCACCAGGAGACGGCGAGTTCTAATCCCGCCTTAGGCATCAACGCCAGCTGGTGATCACGTGATCAAAATCCAGGCGCTTAGCAACTGCCACGTATTTATGACCGTTGCACTGTCCTGGGGTCATTTAATCCCCATTTGCAACCTTACCCATTGGTTTCCAACCAGCAAAATCAACGGACGCCAGATTCGCTTAACAGCCACATGATTCACTTAACAACTCAAGTGACTTGCTTAACAAAGGTGGCAAGAAAAAAATTGTCAAATGGGGCCAAACTGACTTAACAGCTGCCTCGCTTAGCCACCGAACTTTTGGGGCTTAATTCTGATGTAAGTCGAGCACTTGATCTGTTCAGCCTTTTTTTTTTTTTAACCAAAACCTAGTGCAGGGGTGGGGAACCTTGGCTCTTTTATGACTCGTGGACTTCAACTCCCAGAATTCCTGAGCCAGCATGGCTCTGCTTGGAAACCTCTCCCTGTCCCCTCAGCATGGCTGACTCAGGAATTCTGGGAGTTGAAGTCCACGAGTCATAAAGCGGCCTAGGCCTAGGCCAGAGGTAGGCAACCTTGGGTCTTTTATGACTGGTGGACTTCAACTCCCAGAATTCCTGAGCCAGCATGGCTCAGCTTGGAAACTCTCCCTTTCCCCTCAGCATGGCTGGCTCAGGAATTCTGGGAGTTGAAGTCCACGAGTCAGAAAGCGGCCTAGGCCAGAGGTAGGCAACCTTGGGTCTTTTATGATTCGTGGACTTCAACTCCCAGAATTCCTGAACCAGCCATGCTGAGGGGAAAGGGAGAGATTTCCAAGCTGAGTCATGCTGGCTCAGGAATTCTGGGAATTGAAGTCCACAAGTCATGAAGGGGCCATAGTTCCCCCATGCTGGCTCAGGAATTCTGGAAGTTGAAGTCCCTGAGTCATAAAAGAGCCAAGGTTGCCGACCCCTGGTTTCTCAACCATGCTGGCTGGGGAATTCTGGGAATTGAAGTCCCCCCGTCTTCCAGTCGCCCAGGTTGAGAAACAGGGGCACCGAGATTTCTAGCAGCCATATCCTCTTACCGATATCTTAATAACCGGCTCTTCTGATTAAAATAATAATAATAATAAAAGAACAGGTGTTTTCTTCCCGAGCAACTCATTTAACCGTTACCTTTCTTGTTTTTTTAATTTGACCTTCCCTCAGCAAGCATTTCTGATTAAAGGAGACATCAAATGGCTGCTATGCGTCACCCCAAGGCAGTGAATAAAAACCAAATAAAACCAAAAAAAAGCAAGCCTTCCTTTCACAGGGCGAAATGGAAAATCCAAATTTGTCTTCCACCAGATTGTAGATTCCGCCCACAGGATTTACTCCGAGCCTTCGGGAAGAATGGCGAGATTGTTTCAACTAAGGATTTTCCAAGCAGCCTGCAGATTTAAAGAGAAAGCTCCCAGGGACGGCGGAGGAGATAAAACAGGTAGTCTTCGACTTACGACGGTTCACTTAGTGACCGACGTTACAGCAGCACTGAAAAAAAAGGGACTTCGGACCATTTTTCACACTTACAGCATCCCCGGGGCGAAGTGATCAAAAATTCAGACACTTGGCAACTGACTCATACTTATGACAGTCGCAGTGTCCCTGGGGTCACGTGATCCGCTTTTGTGACCTTCTGACCAATCAAATTCAACGGGGGAA